GTCTGCGGACTTATATAACCCTATAAATCGGGTTTCGATACCCGTGGTGAGCAGAACACAGATAGCCCATTGTGTAGCTTTGTGTTTAATTACAAACAAATATACAGTACCACAAAATAAACATAACAATATAACCCTTCACAAAAATAAAACATCCAACCATATTAAGTAAATGCTCTTTTTAAAATATAGAAAATGGCTAGCAAACACATATACCAAAGAACGTTTAATAAAATGAACTAGAAATACTAAAACCCTTATAGGTTGAACACATTTAAATTCACCCTACTAGACAAACCCTTACAACATATTTACTTTTATACATACAGAATATTTAGATACAAGAGGTGACAAAGAACACTTACAAAATAAAACCCTTTAACAGTTTCAAAGACAACAACACGAAACATAACCCTTTAACGTGAATAACTATGCGTATATATCGCAGAAAAGGTTTATAAGGTGACAATAGTAATCCTTCGCTTGTGCAGCATAACAGATAGTTGGAGATTTAATTAAGCACACTAGTGTGAGAAAAACATCACTCGCTAGTTGAAGAACTTGCTAGCCAGAAAGATAAAAAATTCTGTCTTAAATAATAGTCCCCCCGCTGGGACAGCACTAAGTCTGTGGATTTACAAATCTAAAATCAGAGGTTCGATTCCCCTCGGTGGACACAGCAGATGACCAGAAAACACACACACACTCAGTATGTATTATTTGTCCCAGCATGGCCAGGTGGTTACGGCGCTCGACTCGCAATCTGAGGGTCGCGGGTTCGAATCCCCGTCACACCGAACATGCTCGCCATTTCAGCCGTGGGGGCGTTATAATGTGACGGTCAATCCCACTATTCGTTGGTAAAAGAGTAGCCCAAGAGTTGGTGGTGGGTGGTGATGACTAGCTGCCTTCCCTCTAGTCTTACACTGCTAAATTAGGGACGGCTAGCGCAGATAGCCCTTGTGTAGCTTTGCGCGAAATTCAAAAAACAAACAAACACTGCTAAATTAGGGATGGCTAGCACAGATAGCCCTCGTGTAACTTTGCGCGAAATTCAAACCAAACTTAAATAACAAAAGTCCAGTTTGAAAATGAATTCCAATTGGTCAGAATGTCAGCTTTAGAGACATAGTAATTAAAGGATTACCTCGATCAAGTGACGTTTATACAGACTTCAGTTGTGCCTGTGAACTTCTCGGTCACCAGGCTTCACTGGGTCTCTACTTCATCACTACCTATAGCTGTGCTGCCCTTTGGTGCCAATACCGTGACAACAGCCAACACAGCTCACCTTTCGACCCAGAACTATTCCCTCCACCACCACCTGGTTGTTACATATAAACAGTACACAGGTCCAGTAGGAAAGGAATAGGTCGAAACTGATTCCTACACACGTGGGCTGATTCGAATTGGCATATGAGCGTTAAGATCCACTACTGTATGTCCCATTTTTCCCTTGTGAGTTTCTTCCAGATACAACTTAGTACTAGCTAGGTAAATACTTAGAAAACTGTGTGCTTATAAAATACTTCAATCTACATGATTGAACATATTCCATCACAAGTAAATAAAATACTAAATAACAAGTTGATGTGATATCCAAGCTATTATCTGTGAATTTTACTTGCTACTGGTAATTTCCATCTCGCCCACTCATAAATATTTCAATTTAATCCAATCTTGCACTGACAAATATGAAAATTAACTACCTTCTGAACATTTCAATTCCGAAACTGAATCATTTTCTAACGTGTGTTAATGGGAATAATACGTACTCCATACCTTCAAATAATACTATTGGTCAGTAATTACAGTTGACCTCATATCACAAAGTTTTAATTTCCAGATAAAATATTTTGTTTCCATTCATATATTGCTCAATAATTCTGGTATTTGTTTGATTGATCCATCCATGTTATATAACACTAATGAACGACTTCATACACTGGGGTCCCGCTATAAACGTGGTCCAGGGAGTTCATCTTGTGAGACCGCGTTATAACGAGGTTCTTTCAAAAGCGCCAAGCTAGTTGCAGAATTACAGATAAACTGATTGAAAAGGCTTCATAAATAAATAAATTTAAAGGAACATGTTAAGGTCTAAAATGGACCCGCGCGTTATTATACGAGTTTTGTACTCTAGTGGAGCCCCAGAGTACAATATTCATACTCATGTGTAAGACCACACGCATATATTTGTTTATATACGTATATTGCCACATACATATATAATTATTATATATATTGTCACATACACTAACAGCTTAAAAGTGACTACCTTTTGTTCCCACGTGGGTTACACCTGCAGGCTACGTCTCAATAGTGTAACACCACGCACATATATTTGTTTATATACGTATATTGCCACATACATATATATATATAATTATTATATACTGTCATATACACTAACAGCTTAAAAATGACTACCTCTTGTTCCCACGTGAGTTACTTCAGTAACCTTCTAGGGTTACACCTGCACGTTACCTCTCAATAACTGCAGTAAAATAAGGCGCTGCCATCGAGGAGTCTCAAACTCAACCTTTTTTTTTCCAGACATCACAAAATAAGTAAAAATACTGGCAGAATTCAGCTAAATTAAAAACTCTCATAAGCCACAGTTAATATTCGTGCTGTTACTACAGCACACGTCAATATACATTCAGAGGAAACATAACTTCTTTATTGCACATAGAGAAATCACATTCTCTTCAAATATATGGAAAAGATCTAGATGTGACCATACAGTATTCTTCATAGAGTTCCGCCACTCAGCCACACATTGGAAGACATTGCACCACAGAAAACCACTAGATAGTTCAGCAAGCAAGGGTTGCAATACCTTTTCAACTGAGTTTTCAAACTTCTAGCTATCATCTTCAGTTGAGTAAACTAGTGATGTACAAAACGTCACGTCTACTGGTGCCCACTGTCCTAAACTATGTTAATCGAACAGCTATCGTCCAATGTATTAGGAGTATGTCTTAGGCCCGGCATGGCCAGGTGGTTAGGGCGCTCGACTCGCAATCCGAAGGTCGCGGGTTCGAGTCCACCAAACATGCTCGCCCTTTCAGCCGTGGGGGCGTTATAATGTGACGGTCAATCCCACTATTCGTTGATAAGAGTTGGCGGTGGGTGGTGATGACTAGCTGCCTTCCCTCTAGTCTTTCACTGCTAAATTAGAGACGGCTAGCGTAGATAGCTCTCGTGTAGCTTTGCGCATAATTCAAAACAAACAAACATACACAATTAGATATCTTTGCTGTGCTAACCACGAATATCGAAACCCGATTTTTCGCGTTATAAGCCTTCAGAAGAATTTTATTGATAGTGGAAGATACTACATGTTTCGCCAAACGTCCGTCTTCTTCAGGTATATAATATAGTTTTTCCTTGTGCTTATAACTTGTTGTTTGCCAACCTATTATTATATTAGCAGAAGGTGCTTCCTTACTCAAGCCTTCAGACTCACCCCTGAGCCACTGGGGGCATATTTAACCAGCTGTACTCATCACTGGTTTGACTTTTTATCCCTTTAGTAGCACAGCGGTATGTCTGCGGACTTGCAGCACTAGAAACCGGGTTTCGATGCCCGTGGTAGGCAGAGCACAGATAGCCCGTTGTGTATCTTTGTGCTTAACTATAAATGACAGCAAATTCTCTTTTCCGTCGTTCATACCATGATGAAAAAATTCGTGTCTTCTCTGATCTTTGCAGACACCCAATATCGGGCCTGATTAGTATTTGGAAGGATGACCATCTAAGAATACCAAGTGATTGGCGCTATTACTTTAATACACGACGGTACGTCTGCAGACTTACAACGTTAGAAATCAGGTTTCGATATCGTGTAGCTTTGTGCTTAATTACAAATTGACTTTTAATTTTTAATCTAAATAGGTAGCTTGCTCTGATTGAAAGTTAACGTTATTTCATTATTGATTTCCTTTATATCATACAAATGAAATGAGTTAATTAAATTTTATTCTAATTACATATACAAATATTAAGAAAAAATACACCTTAATGTTCAAAGGATTACAATCACTAAATCTTGAATTAACGTTTTGAGATTTCAATCGTCAGATGGCACTCCAATTCCATGATCAGATGAGACAAAGAGGGGTGTTGAAGTTAAAGTCGCTTTACGATGTAATAATAATAATATATATTCAAGTGTTGACAGTGGACGTGCTTTGACTGGTTGTTAGGTAGATTTAAATTTAAAGAGTTTTACAAGATCAGTGAAAGGTAAGATTATTCGGTGAACTTAATATTTTTGAAATTATATTTTATGGAATTTAATATCAACACGACATTACTTACTTACTAATTCATTGGAGACTGTAGTGTAACTTGTAAAACTAAAGTATTGTCTGAGTTTAATTCTACTTCCTGGTGTCAACACAAATAATGTAAATATAAGAAACTCAGTTTCTTTTTTATTACATGAACTTCATTAAGTTTAATTCAAGCATCTAAACCTTCTCATTCCATCAAACAGACATCTTCTATTCCTAAAAACAAGATCTAAAATCTTTAATCCAATAATTCCCAATTTTATTCTACTTATTTTTCATTAGCAAGATCTGTTTTCAGTTGTTTTTCTTTTGGGGGGGGGGGATCATTTGCAAAAGTGGTGCTTAATTAATAGTTCTTAATATAATTTAGAATAGGTTTTCTTGGGTCACCAACTTTTGTAATTGTTTTGATACAAATCCATCTTTTTTTTTCAGATCAGAGCATCTTGGTAAATGTTGTGTATCTTGATTTTTGGGTAGCTTTTATCAATTGTCACAAAATATTAATTGATGAGTTGGATAGCATCTTAAGAAATTAATGGAAATGTAATGAAGTGGGTAGAAAATAAACTTGGGGGGTATGAAACAAAAGTTTTGCCATGATTGGGCATTCCCCAGACTGGGTGAAAGTGATTTTTGTATTCCATTAGTATCTGCTTTGGGACCTCTGTTGTAATTGATTTGGAGAGCTTATTTGATGGCAGAGGTGTAATGGGGTGAGAAGATGTGGGCACAGCATACCTGTTGATTTTTTTAGCTGGACATCATCACTATTTCAAACGAATCCCACCTTACATGATTATGCATTAGATTTTGCAATCTGACACTTCTTTATTTAGCACTACACCACTGTTTATTGTAATGTTTGTAGCTTGCTAATGTTAAATAACTAAGAAGGGCTGATTCTGTTGAAATAACTTTTGTTATGAAAAAAAAAAGCAAAACTTGATGATTGTTGTGGCTGGACCAGAACATTGGAAATACATTCCAATATTGAAAAGTGTAAAATATGCACTTAGGCTATGAATATTTTTGAATGACTTGTACTTTGTGCACAAAAATAACACTAGTATGTTGGGATAAAGATTTATCTGTAATTGTGGAAAAATTAATGACATCAATTGCAATTTAATTGTAGTAAAAGAAGGTAATAAAGCCCTTATTTATCCTTAAGTGTGATTCAAGAGATATAATATTACAATTATTATTTGGTATACTATGAACAATTCTGGTTTCTTGGTACATGGAATATATAAACTTACTACGAAATGTGTAGTGACAGGCTGTTAGAAAAAGATTGAAGATCTGAACTACATTAACTTAGAATGTTGACTAACTAAAGTGACTTGATTCAGAAGTTTGAAAGTTTTAAGGGCTTGGATAAGCTGCTTATAGGTGATTCTTTTGAGTGGTAGATTAAAATGTTGGGAATGTAAATTTGAGTATCAATAGATGTGATGAATTCAAATAATGTGAGACCAGTTCTAGACTTGTTGTTTGGAAAAAAAATTAATCTCGGTTATAGTTATAAACTTTGAAATGGTTTGTGTGATAATTTGATGTGTGTTAGTTTAATTCTTGATAAGCTTAGTAGAATAATTATATGGGTTGGTTGCTTTGGAAGAGAATGACCTCAAAGGGTCAAATATCTATACGTCTTTGTTTCTAAGTGAAACTCATAAAACTAAAAACAGTTTACTTTAATTCAAAATCAAGATATGGCACAAATAATTAGATATTGAATATAAGTTTAACACTAAGTGGACATTATGTTATGTTTACATTACAAAATGAAATTTAAGTTCTATTATGCATTTACTTTTGCAGATGTAACTACTTATGGAACTTTTTTTTTTAAGGCTATGTTACTCCAGATTTATTAAATAAATATCCCTCTCAAAGCATCTTGTAGAACTATCAAGTGAAGTTTCATATTATTATTTTGATATTTAAAATTGCATGACTTTAGGTACCTCACCATTTTTCTATATATTTTTTGTACCTAATGTCATTATGCTTGAAAATTAATAGTTATTTCTTTATCATATTTTTTCAGCAGTATTGTAGAATGTCTGTGTGAAGATAATGCATATGTTAGCAACCCACTAAATTTTAAAAATCAGTGAGCAAAAAATAACTTGATATACACATATAGTTACCATATCAGTTGAGAATATATCTGCTTTGCATTGATTAAAAAGCTGTTTTTAGTGTAGGTAAATATTCATATTAAACTTCTATTATATAATAATATAATAATTGTTTACTTTTCGGCTGATTGTCTTGCTTGTTTTTACATTTTGTTTCAAACTTTTCCCCTTATTTTTCAAAGAACTAGCATTTTAAGTTAGGGCTGTGTTTGAAGATTAAAAGGTTTGTTTGCTAGCCAGGAGTTCAAAGATAGTTCTAAAGAAGGCAAAGGTTAATCAGGAGGCACTCAAGCATTGTCAGATAATTTTTTTTTATCTTGTTAACAAAAACTGTTTGACAAAGTTTGAATAATAATCACATGGAAAATTTGATCTTTTAATTTGTATAATGCTCATTACTTAAACAAATGTTGTATTTGAAAAACACACACACACACACACACCACCAAAATGTTATATGAAGTAATTCCTTCTGTGCATTAGAGCAGACTGTTATGGTGATACACAAAAGGGAACATTTAGATGATCTATTACTACAATGAAATTTATTGAATACCTAGTGTACAAGATGCAAGAAGTGTACAAGATTCCAATGAAAGTGCTACTCTGACTTTGTTCTGTTTTGTTTATTTATAATTTTCATTATTATTTACTCATTTGGTTGATGCCTTTATCCAAGGCGTATGTATAGTTAATCATCAGTGTCATTAAAACAGACATGACTGATGATAACACTCTCTCTCTCTTGTAACATTTTGTTATAGTTAAAGACTCGTATATATTTTCTAATCCAAATGTCAGTGTTACTCTGTTTTGTTTTGCTGCTTATTTATTATTATATTATATAATCAAAACATGTCAAAAAGACTGTGACTTTTAAACTACTTGGAATAGTGACTATTAAAGATAACTTGTTCTGCTTAAGTCAGCTGCAGTTTTTTACATTTTCCACAACAGGATACCCTTACAATACAAGTTTATTTTGTGTTGCTATATGAATATCACATACAGCATCAAACAGAAGAACACAATGTGCATTTTTCTAAATTTAAAAACATAATTACTATTATATATAATGTATTTTTAAACTAGTTGTGTGAATGTTTTATTTCGCTTCTCTGTGTTAATTGTAAAATGCAGTGGTTTTCAGTGTAGTAAATTATGCAAATTAGTACTATTGAAGGTTCAAACCTCTATTTGATATTGTGTTATAGACCTTCAAAGTTTAGATAACACCCTTTAATCTGTTTTCTGTATTTTTAAGTGTCACTTATCCATACTTTCATATGGTTATAATTATGTCTAGTTCTTTTATATACAAAATAATTTGCTCTTGCATTACTTTTTACTGACTGTTGTTATTATATTGGTTTATTTATTTTTTTGTATGTTTCAGAAGGTCATCTATCTGAAACCAATACATTTAAACCTGATCAGTTGTTCCCTCATTTCAATGGGGAACTCCAAGTCAAAGTCACAGCTATCTGAACAATATTTGTCTGCTCCAATGTCTGCATCACGAAGTTTTGCAATAACACCATATTATGGATCTGTAAATTCTGTTGCTGGATCTGAACTTTTAGACAATATTGCTCTTCGTGAAGGAAGCTCATTTAGTGGTCATGTATCACCAGTTCGTCGATTTTTTCTACTGCTTACAACATTTGATTTTGTTTTCAATGTTCTTTTATGGCTTATCTGTGGAATGGTAAGTTTTATTCATTACAATTTTTGTTTGCATCATGCATTTAATTTTGTTTTTATTAAAAAAATCAATTTCTTGTGTGAAATTGTTACATTTAAATTTTTTTTAGCACAACTGGAATAGGTTTTATTAGTCTCTTAATTGTGCTATGCGAGGTAAACTTTTAATTCTTTATTAGAATAAAATATTTCCACAAAGTTATGTAAAAAATTAGTAAAAAGATAGCATTTCTATAAATGAATTATAAAAAAAATCCAGATGAAATACAATTACCATCAACCATTTTTCCAGAAATTTCTAGAAATGCAAATTATTAAAAACACACTTATGATTTGCAGGTTATTAAGTGTACATTATATTTCTTGAATCTTATGTTTTACAAGCTGAATTCCCATCATATGACAGGAAATGATGATTAATTTTTCTTCTCAAAAGTACATCTAAATAAATATTTTATGAACATGTTTTATAAAAATTATTTATAATCTAGTAATAATATATGTATGGATAATGACGATCCTATTTTTAGTATTTCATGAAAACAACATTTTTATGTATATTTTGTCATCTCTTTGAAGTATTGCTTGAGTAGCATTTTTAGTTCTGTATATTTTTAAGTTATGTTAAAATTTTCTTCTTGATAAATCTTTATTTTTTGAAACATGCAAAAAAAACTCATTCTCAAAGACATATTCCTACTTGGTCAACTGTATGACCCTGCAAATTTTTAATTGTGATGGTAAAGGCAGTGAATTTTATTATGAATTTCGGGATCTTTAGACTGTCTTCCTGGTTTAGGCTTTGTTAGCCTGCTGAGCTGAAGAAGCATGCTTTAATTTGGGAATTTTCAAAATTGAAATGTGCTGTAGGTAAAACATGCAGGTTGTTACAGAGTTGTAGCCGAGGGTTCTGATTGGACAAAATTTGGAGATGTTGCATCAGTATGTCTCCTTGTCAAACAAGCAGATGTAATGGGGAATTTTAGCCAATGATTGTGATTTTTGTGCATGAGGTGCACGTAAACCCAATTCGATTTTATTATTCTTCACAATCACTACCAACCTACCCACAAATCTAATTATACGTCCAAAGTAGTACATCATATGTTTTAGATGTATACATATTTAGCAAAAGAATTTTAAAAAGTCAAACTTGCTTGTCGCAGTAGAAAATTCCTTTGTTTTGTGCAAGTTACGTGTCGATCAGTACCTCAATGGCCAACAAATTGGTGTGACATATGGACAGCTTTTGGTCTTTATATAGTAGATTCAGATAATTGTGTGTGTAGTTGTAATCAGAATTTTTCTTGTTAGAAAGCTTTGGTTGTTAGTAAGTGTAATATTATTAACTCTCAATAAAACCCTGTTCATTTTGTATGCTCTTGTGTCTTCAATAGCTTGCAATCACCATTCTAGTGTGAAATATCTTTTACCCATGGTCATTTAAGTAACTGTAGGTGCATCTTTTTTGTAAGTTAAAATAACAACATAAAATCAGTGTGACTTGCAGTAATGTTCACAAAAATATCCACTACCTTGCCTTTCAGAACAGTCTCCATGTGCGGTTATTTAGGTTATTTCTATAATACATTTTTTGCTCAAGTTCAATTTGTTTTTCGGGAAGGTAGGTGTTTGTGAAATGTAGTGTCCATCACAAAGTACTGGTCAATTGGGTTACCTTTCATAATTGTCTAGATGCTTCTGTTCTCCTTCCTGATTACAGATTCACTGGGGTCAACTTTGTTTTTCTATGTTTTTCCCTTTACTCACCATTTTATGTGTTTTATGTAACAGTTAAATAATATATCTGTTTTTTTGTGTTTGTTTTTACTGAAATAATGTGGTGCTTCCAGATAAACCGTTTTCCTCGACAGGTTCTAGAAGATTGATAAAAAATGTTTTGCAGGGTTAAACTGGATTCTCTTGATTTTTGACTGTGTTTGAAGTAATGAAAGTGATTGGATACAATGCAAAACATAGTAGAAACAATCTTTAATCAAAACTAAAACACAATAAAAAATTGTGTGTGTGTGTATATGAAGGGCGGCACTTTTACTTAAACTTCCAAAAACCACTGAGTCTCTTTAAAGAGATTCAAATCTCTGAAAATCTGTTCCAAACTGAGAAAATGTGTCTGGAGGGTGGCACTTTTACTTAAACTTCCAAAAACACCAAGTCTCTTTGAAGAAACTTAAATCTGCAAAGATCTGTTCCAAACTGAGAATACATAATATTATGTGCTAAATTCTACAATGGCATCCCTCTCAAGGCATGTGCAATTTCTGTGTCACTCTTTCAATCTAATAATGTATCCTCAAGGTATCACCTGCCATACCAGTGAAAAAGATTGCTACCCATCTTTACACATATATTTTACTTTACAGCAATCTTTCTCATGAGAAAGCATAAGTGATGCTACAAGTGAATAACCCAGAACTGTAGGTATATAAGATGAAAGAACTTAGAAAGATGTTGGATGAATACGAAGAGTTAAGTAGGGGGGGGGGGACTTACATTCTACCTTAGCATAAAGACAGTAAAAGAAAACTTGTGATGCCATACCAGATGAGGTTAAAGAATTTTGAACAGACTTGAAAATGCAATATGGAAAAATGCAAAGCAAATATCAAACAGACATGTAATAAATTATAGTAATTTTTAAAATAGAAAATTATAATTTTTTAAGAACAAATTATATGTACCCTTTCAGTGCTTAGTAGATTCATTCATCTGATTTATGGAACCTGAAAGACATCCAGAAAACAGGAGCCCTTGAACCTCTTAAACAATGAATTCCAACATAAAGTAGTACATTGTACCTGTATCCAGAAGAACCTTAAATGTAATTGTATTTATTAGCTCCACTAAATCATTAGACAAGTTCTGTCCTATAACAGTCCTTCAGTTTAGCATTGAAATTGCAATTATTAAAAGTATCTGTTTAGAAATCATATTGAAAAAAAAAAGATAAATCTTAACAGTTGCATATATCATTCTTAGCTCTTCCATGTTTCAGAAAGTTTAAAATCAGTTACTTAATCCTTGCTGTATAACTTAAGATGTTCCTTAAAGAAAATCACATACTTTCAGGTAGCTAGATTTTCTTCATACTGTACAGTTTGGTTGAAAACAACTTAAATGTTATTTTTTTGTTTTACTAGTATGATTGTTTTACTAGTATGATGTATGTTTCAAAACTGTATCACTGCTGCCTAAGTTTATGTACAGTTGTTCTTGATTAATAGTATAAAATGTTAATTTCAAGTGACATGAATCAGTATTACTAATTATGCATTAATTTCTGGTAACCAGAACTTTAAAGTTTTAATTAATTGTAATTGGCTCTTAACAATCAGAATCAATCATTTATCATAATCTTGAATTTTTAGTCTGTATTCTTTTGATGCAAAGTTTGTTATGTTTAAAGGCAGTGTGTACTAATATATCACAGGCAGTCTACTTTTGGAGGTTATACATGTATATCTTGGGCTAAGTACACTGTAAGCTTAAATTTAGAATAATTTTAGTTGCTTAAAAGTCACTGAAAAATAATTATTTCAGAAATTGTGTTTTGATAAATTTATTAAATTGAGAAAAAGTTCATATAGTATTTTATGAATATTAGTATTTCACCAGAGTTTTATAGACTAGCGTTTTTATTCAATGAAATAGCATCATCACTCATAAGAAGTTATTATTCTAAACCTTTTAAACATCTTAATGCTAAAATACTGTTTTTTTACCCTCAATTTTCAAATGTAATTAAAGACTTATTTGCTTAGAAAGAAGTATCATCATTCATATTTAATATATTTCTAGATGTTTGTGCTTGCTTGAAATTTAGTTGTGTTAATAAATCATGTTAAGACTGGAGATTTTGTTTACAATGTAATTTATTAAGTGTGGTAGGTCATAGACTTGAATCATGCATGTTTTCGATACGTCTAGCTATATTACTGTAACAGTGAATTGATTTACTTCTTATAGTTAACTGGTGAAGGTGTTGAAAATGCCTTCAAGAAGGAAGTTATGAATTACTCCTTTGAAAAATCTCTATTTGATATTGTTGTAAGTATATTTGATCTTTTTTTTTTTTTTTGTATACACCAAAAAATAACCACAATTTTTCAAGGGTATAAGTCTTCTGCTCGACTTATCACTTCTGTCTTTCGTGGTCAAAATTTTGTAACTTTGTAGGATGGGCTTTTCATAACCACTGAAAATTACAAAAGTGTCTTAATTTTTTAACTTAGGCTTTTTACAATTTATCATTTAGTTAAACTTATAATATATGTAAGTATACTTTCAGCTACAATTTTGGCTACTAAAAGTTCAGCAATGTTGATGAATTGTTTCATCAACCAAAGATCTTCTGTATAGTATCTTATAAATGACAAAAATAAATCCTAAAAAACTATGTTGACACGCAGAAATGATATTTAAAATTCCTTAGGTTTGGTATTTATTATTCACTAACTTAAAAGAACCCTGTTGTATTTTTTTTCCTTTCATTCACATTTGATAACTTAAAACTAAGTTTGTACTGCATTAAAGTATTATTTCAGGTAGAGATATAGTTCTACTTGTCCCAGCAATTGAGTAAGATAACTAGTCCAAATATTTCCAAAAAACTAGCAGTGAAGAAAGAAAGACAAACAAAATGCTGTCCTTGCAAACTCAGGTTTGAAATCTGCAACCAATCTGTACTGACAATACGAACTTCTGCTTAATGTGTTGTGGGGACAAACATTATTTATAGCACATTGAACTGGCCAGAATATGGTTATAATAATTTAAAGTAACTAATGGTGACTTCCACTGTTGGGTTAACACATGGGCCCAAAAAGGGTTCAGCCAATTAGGAGACTCATGGTAAAACCTACTGTTACACAGAACAACTGCGTACAATCAATGGACCAAAATATTAACATTCACAAATATCATATAGTAGAGTTTTCACAGAAAATTTCGATTGAAAGGAATGTATTTAACCCTGTCCAGACTGAAGGTGTGTCCTTTAATGTTAATTATTACAAGAGTATTAAAAAACTATGATTTTTAAAATGAAGTAGGGATCCTGCTATAGAAAGTAATGAAACAAGAACTAAACCCACAATCACAAATTTATAAAAATTTAATCCTTACTTTGGCCTACAGATAAAAGTATAAAGCTAACAAAGTAGGGATTAAATTTTATAAATTTGTGATTGTGGTTCTAATTCTTGTTTTATTACTTTTTGTATCATGATCCCTATTTCATATTGAAATTCATAATTTCTGATACACTTGTTTGTTTACTTTTTATGTTATGCCTGTATAGAGTATATACTTTACTTTTAGAAACAGTCACATGTCTGACCATCAATATATATAGCGCCATCTGTGGGGCTGAAAATATATTTAAGTATGTGCATGATATATTTACCATTTATATCATATATATATATATATATATATATGTGTGTGTGTGTGTGGATTTTATTGGAATATCAAAAGTGGATACCCACAGACCAGTCAAGTAATCTGGAGAAATCTTTTAGCGATAGTCCAAACCATCTAGGCTCTAGCCTCGCTGACTTGATCAGGTGTTAAACACTTTTGTGGGTGAAATAGAGAAGCAAAACTGATTACACTTGAAAACCTTAGTAATTCATCTGTGGAGTCCAAAGAACTGTTACAATTTATTAGTTTTGTTTATAATTATCAGAACACAACAATTCCTATTAAAAAGTAGTTTATTATTATTACAAAACATAAAACAACCAACTCTGTTCAAAGTTATGTTCTTAAATTATAATATAGTTGATTAATGTACTGTACACACTTAGACATTTATGACCAAATTTGTTGAAAAAATGTTCCATACCTCTCTCTCTCTTTTTTCTGAAGATTTGTGGTTCATAGTATGCTTTTTTGATTTAATGAGTAGTAATAGAAGTAAAACAATGCAATAAAAGGGGTTTTGGTATGTTATTAACATTTCTATCTCTGTTTTATTTAGACAAAAAATGTTAGGAAAAACTGACAACTAGGACAAGCTTCTTAAGTTTTCTTCATTTTGAATATTTTTTTTAAAGTATTTATTGTTATTGTAATAAAGAAAGCTTTAAAATCTGGAGGATGAAAGTGATTTTTCTTTTAATTGGTTATTAATAAGATACTATCTTATTATGCAGTTACACACACAAGCTAACAGATACTACACACTGATCCTATTTGCACATATGCTTAGCTATTAGTATGTCAATGAAACTTCTGAGTAAGAGTTTTGCTTCATTAGATCAACTGTTAAAAAACTTGATCATAAGCTCCAATAATTTTAATATATTTTCTATAAGCGCACGCCTTTTATTTATAGATGGCATCAGCATGGAGATTTACCCTTATTTTGCTTGCCTACGGACTCTTCAGAATATCTCATTGGTGGATGATAGCAGTGAGTAAACAGTTAATTTTGGTACTTTATCACAGGTACTGTCTGTAATTTATTAGGGGGGAGGATAGAAAACAGGTCTAAAGGAATTTGTTTCCTCCAATGGAGTTACATTTTTGTAATTGTTTTCCTTTAACCAAGTTTTATGTTATGCATATATTTCTTCAAATCATCATTTTGTGTGATTTAATGCTCCCTATTGTTGTTCTGTTCCAGTGTTAGTTTTTCAAACTTTTTTAATTTTCTTTCATTTTTTCAATTTTTTTGTTGTAAAAATCACTGAAGTCTTCTTAAATATGTGTAGATTAAGTGATTTTTGTGTAATAAGTAGTAATAATTATAGGTTGCAGATGTCATTAATAATCCGAAGTATTGTTGATGGATTTTCTCAGTAGATTTGCTACTTAACTATGAATTAGGCTATTATTACAACTGAAATTTCAAACCTGTTAGGTCGGTTGGTTGTTGCTATTGTACTATTCTTGCATTAGTGTGTGATTGTAAAGAGTAATTGCATATGTAAGCTATTTTTTGTTAATAACTTGAAGTAACTGATGAATAACCCAATTTCTATTATGAAGTATAAGAAGCTCAGTAAAAATGCATTAATTATTTTTATATATTAAATACTAATGGACATATATGCAATGTTTTAGATAACCACAACCACCACCGGCATTTTTGTCATATGTAAGGTATTTTTCTACCAGGTAAATGTCTTTTTATTTTGTTACTATTTTTGTTAAAACTTACAGTCTTGTCTGTAAAGATTTAGTGATCTTTTCCATTATTCATTTGGAGCTTCTTGAATTAATGTTTTACAGTTGCTCTTTTTGTGCTTTAAAATAATTTTGTACTTAAGTTTGTTTGAAGGGTTAGCTACGATATTTATCAACCTTCTTAGAATTCTTAAATAGCATAAATTTATTTGGTGGAAATAATTAGTAATCACATCCAGCTCTTTAGTGTCATCGTGACATTTGTTGGGACTCGTAGATTCAGATCTACTTAGAAACAAGTTTTCCTTTAAGTACCACATACAGAGGTGTGAAACAAAGAGTCTATATTGCCCAGTCATTGCTCCAGGATTGGTATTTAAAATAGCTCCAAATTTGTGTTGAGCTAATATATACCATAGAAAGTAGTAGTAATTGTATTATAAAACTTAATTCATCATTAAAAGAGTCTGATAATTGTATCTTTTGGCTCTACAATAGTTAATAATCTTACTGTAGGAATATTTCTCTTTGAAAATAGCACATGCATATCTTCTAGGCACACGTCTATCTTTGTGACATTGTAGTACTGAAAGGTTAGGAATTCATCATAAACCTAACATGTAGATGGATTCTTTCCGTATCTGTGAAACCATGGCTCACATTTGTAGCTACTGTGGTAGAATATGTTGATTGTATTGTAATAATATGAACCCAAATTTAAAAATTCATAAATCCAGAAATTATTCAGTTGATTTCTCATGCTAGTTTGTTAACATTCTAGTAGAGTGTAGGAGTTGAATATTTTTTATCGTTAACAAATACTCAATTTTTTATATGTTTAAAATCTTTTATGTTTCAATTTAGTAAGTATTTTGTACTATTAGTGGGATGCATCAAACCAAAGTCAAACACCATATTCTGCAGTTGTGGTCTTGTTGATTGCTTCCTTTGTTATGTCCTGGGTAGAAGCATGGTTTCTAGACTTCAGGGTAGTGCCCAGTGAAGAGAAAGCATCAGTATTGCTTGGTAAGCTGTTAGTCTTTACTTTACTTATGTAATTTGCTCTTCATCATGATGGGTTTTACTACTGGATTTCAATGTATCTATTTCTAGAAGTCACCATTGCAACAGTGGCAAGTCTACAGACTTACAGCATTGAAATCCAGAGTTTAATTCCCCACAGTGGACACAGCAGATAGCCCAGTGTGGCTTTGTTCTAAAACAAACAGTTTCTGGGAAAATATTACCATTTTTGCTTTAGCACATAAGTTATGACCCACAATTTTAAAAAGAATTTTAGATGTCTAAATATTGCATAGAATTACCGCATTGTTACTTAAAAGTTATGTATGTTTTGATTTAAATATTGTCCAGTTTTTGTACTTGTGGTAATAAGAACATTGTATATTGAATTGTTATTCTTACATTGCAAATTTTTGTAATTAATACTTGTTGAGTAATTTATTGCTGTCTCCTACGTTGATGATAACATCTCAAGGATAGTTTGTTTATTTTTTGTATGTACCACCTAGTTTTATTTCTACTCATTTGTGCTTTCAGGGGATATGGGTTTGTGAAATTGCATTTTATGAGAGTGTAAGGGTTGTAGTTAACTCTTAATTTCAATATTATTATTATAGATTTATAAGAAAAATAAAAGTTTTTAAATTAATAAAACTGTACAAATAGTGTTTATGTTATGATTATGGAAGAGCAATAAAAAGGCAGTTATCAAACTTTAGCTGATTTATCTTACCTTTTTATCAAACAATCTACTTGAATTTTGGATTTTTATATCCATTTTTCATTGCCCGAGTTATTTTATTTACTAAACACATATATCAAGTATAGTGATTTTATTTAAAAGCATAAACGTTGTCTGGATAGATCATAAACCTGTCAACCGATGTGTAGTTTTGCAGAATTACTATTTTAATCTTGGACGACAATAACAAAATCCTAGTGCAAGGGCAAGAATATAATACCTAGAAAATGAAGTACCATTTTAAACATCAAAAAGTGTTATAGTAGAGGTTTATTATTCTGTTTCATTCATAGATAAAAAAAAGTAAATGAAACTGAACAGCTAATAGATTCGATATAGTGAAAGTGTATAATGTAAAGTAGCAAACCAGCACAGGGAAGAGGTGAATATATCAAAGTAACTTACAGATATGTTATGCATCATTCACTTAAAAATTTAAATGTTTTGGCCCATCATGTTAGTTATGAAAAATGTGCATTTTGATATACTCCCAAGTCGGAAACATTCTGTATGACTGTGCACAGTTTTTAACATGGATAACATATTTGATATATATAATGTATGGCAACTTAAATCCTTTTTTTTTTTGTCAATGCAGATTTTGTAGTATAAAGGAGAGAATTAAGACTGTTATTCATATTATAATTTTTTTTGCTTGATTGTATAATATTTTTGACAGTTGGTGGAATGCCCAATAAATCACCCTTAATGGTATCTAATTTAACCGTGTGTGTGTGCTGTTTTACTTTTCAGCCAGGTGTGTGAATGAACACACACCATTTATTCCACCATATGGATCAGTACCTCGTGCCTTCAGTGAAGATGGTACTTTTTATTCACCACCAGGTAGTTTGTTTTGAATACTATTTACGTCATAGAAGAATTGAGTATGGTAGATAGTTCATTCAAACAGTTTATGATTTTTTGTTAGTTTAATATTTTATTACATTGCTAGAAATGGTAAATTCACCTAAATTTGTTAAGTTGATACAAGCTTAGTGATTTATACAGAAATCTGTATCATGCATTCAGATTCCATAAATATCGGATATGTTTTTACTCGCTCACATTACTAATGAATTATACCAGCATTTCCCAAACATTTTTCATCCATGCCCCCCTTTAATAAATATAGTTTCTTTTGTGTCCTCCCCCCTATTTTTCTTTAAATGAGTGAAAGAGGGAGTTAAGTGACAAGATATGGTACATGGACACACATTAAAATGCTATATTGTTGTAGTAATTACTTATTATTTTCATTGATAAAAAATATATTAAAACTTAATTTGGCATTATTGCACTGCTGACTACCCTAATTGCTTGTGTCTCCCCCACAAGAGAACATTTGTGTTCCCCTGGAGGGTGCACCCCACACTTTGGGAAATGCTGAATTATACTTTGACACATTTTCATGGTTTCCAATTTAGGAAGAGCAGTTCAGCTAGTTAGTACACATTAAAAGTAAAATAGTATATTGTGGAATATTAAAATGGAGTTTCAGTACTCTTGTTGTGTATCTGTAGTTTAAATTTCCTGATTACCTAACCATTAAAGAGGAATATGATAAAAAAAAAGTATTCAATCAAATATTGCCTTTAAGTTTGAAGGCCTTTAAAACTAAAACTTGGGGTTCTGTTCCCCACATTGGACACAACAAGATAGCCCATTGTGTATCTTTACACTTAAAAAAGACATCACCTTCACCATGTTTTGTTTGGTCTATAAAATATATTAACTCCTTGAAAATTACTTCAGTTAGTTTTTATTGCCATTTTTTTTGGTCGTGACAGTAATATTCCAATATAATAGAACAAAATACACAAATTTTATTGTCACTGTTAACTCCATTAAATATTTTTTTTTTGTGGTGTAAGAGTTTGGATCAGTGGGGGTAACTTAACTTGCTTTGGATCATTAATTTAAGTGCATTTAAACAAAAATCAGCTTTAATATAAATTGAACTTTTAGAAATACATAGTGTTTCCCAATTTTGGACAGTTTAAGATATTGAATATAAAGTCTAAAAGTAAACCAATTATTTTAATTTCCTTTTTTTTTTGAACAAATAAAAAGTATTAAACTGTAAAAATGTGTTTATAGTTTCCTCAGTCATCATTTTCGTAAACTCCAGTTTATTTGGTTACAAAATAGCACAAATGAGAAGCTATAAAAGAGATACTTATCCTTTTTACTTGGCTGCTATTAATTAGTTGAATCTTTACACTACGTCTTGGCAGTATCTTTTATTATTATTTTTTTATACCTACATGTAATGATGAAAATTACCCATTAAAATAACATATAAAGCTGATGTATGTTTCATGAAAATTATAAAGTGGTCATTAACATTTACACTGGTTGGTTCTGAGGTTATTGTTGGTCTAAACTTACATTTTTGTCGTATTATGATTACATTTGTTAGTTAAGTAATGTCCAGGCATTGCTAGGTATGAAAAGATTAATATTGAGTTTATATCAAATCTATTTGGAGGAAAAGTCATGAAAATAAAACTATATGCATAAAATGTGTGTGTGGAAATGTAGCGTATGATGAGGTTCCCTTCTTTTTCCTTTATCTCTCTTTTTTGTTTTTTATTTGTATGTTAAAATGACATTTCAAACTATGCCTACTCTTTGTGATTTTTCCAGGTAGTACAGTAGGAGACTTAGAAGAAGAAGAAGTAGTAGAAGAATGTGAAGCAGAACCTCCGTGTATTCCATTTACAGAACTTACACCTCAGGTAGTGCATTGTGTTTTTTTCTGTTTTATATGTTAAGGTTCCATTGAGTACGTCAAGGTTAACCGATGTCATCCCACCTGTTTTCGTTATGAAAAGTTTAAAGAATGATAAGACTTCTGAGTCAAATGATATTCGAAACCATATGTGCCTCCACTCCCACTTATAGCTATTACTCGACAACCAGGGTTTCATCTTTGCTCATCTAAGTATTGGTCTGATTTTTTCTCACTTGCTTCAGTCTTTTATACCCCACTTAATTGCCTTTGGTGATATATGTCTCGTGATACTCTCCACCTATACCAATGCACCCTCTGTCCTGGTACTATATATAAGTACTTCATTCAGATAATATTATCACTTTTTTTGACAAAGTGTCACTAATGGGTTTCCCAGTATTACAATCATTTGCTGATTATGTTATGAATTCCCAGATTATTACTTAACAATTGGGGGAGTAGACACTGTCAGTTGTCAGTGATCTTATTCGTTGTGAGTCATTTTTCCAACACTCAAATAATTTCGAAGTTCTAAAGCGAAGTTTGTAGTTCACTTATATAGGTCTACGGACTTACAATTCACTATTTTGTTTCGTTTCAAATCTCTTTGTTATAAGACTATCAGGATTACCAGTTTCATTGATGACGAGCTGGATCCATTGTTAGCATGCATGTTGGTTCAGTTTTCAGCTTCTACATTCTTCCTAGTTGTTGTTGGAGTCTCGAATTTCATCGGCTCTTACAGAGTGGTCATAGTTTTGCCCCTATTGTGAGTGCCAACCCCTGACATCAGCTCCTCGGTATATTGGTACTCAGAATAGATTCTGTCTATACCCAAGGTTCAGTTCCACTGCTTAGCCAGATCGCCAGCACCGTCAGTGAATATTTTATACTTTCAGGTGCCATAAGGGCTTGGTTCCAAGATTTTCTGGATGTCTGGTAATCTTACCCGTCAGTCCAGAAGCTCTGCAGGTCCTTGGTCATTCAGTTCATGTCTTCCCCACTATTATCCACCAGTCTAGTTGGTCTGGGGGTAGTGAGATTGTTGGACTAGTTCTTCAGAGTTTTATTCTTGTTAGCTATTGGGCCTATTAAGACAGGAGTTTGGTATCCAGTCATCAATCTTCATTGTGTATCTCAATGCCCAGATTCTCCAAGGTTCACAAGTTAATCATTTTTCAATCTATGTTGATTTTCTTACTGGGATGGTAGATGTCCATCTTGGCTGTAATTGGCTCCAATCTGCACTTTGTCTTAGCGATGGAGTCCCACCACTATTGTTGTTTGTGGTGCACAAGGGTCAGGTACTGCAGTTCTGGGTTTTTTTCATTTGGTCTTGCATAGGCTTAACATGGGTTCTGCTGTATTGTATGAGTTTTCTCGTCCCATTCATTCCATCATACTGTGCACACACCATTCCATGGATGACTGGTTACTGCTGGCAACATCTTGTCAATTGTTAGACCATCACATCCTGATTCTACTTTCATATACAACCCAGGCAGTCTTCTGTTCTTTCTCCAATTCAATATGTCATCAGTTTGGGTATTTTTCATTTCTTCTCTCAGTTTGGCTCAGCTGTCTCCCAACTGCTCAAAGCTATAGAATAAGATGCCACACTTTTACTCATCTCACCCCTTCTCCCACTGCACAGATGGTTATTTCTCTTCTGGATTGTGGGCATCTCTCAAATCCTTTGTACCTTTGGGATGAAAACACAAGTAATATTTTGATTGTTCTTTAAGTGACCAGGGATCATACACATCTATTTCCTGGTTTCCCCAGTTGGGATCATTGCAGGTAATATGAAGCAAAAGCAAGTTATTTTGATGCATTTCTTCAGAACTGGTACTTCGATCATTGAATAAATCATTTAGAAATGAAAATATTTGCTACAATCACAGGGAATTACATGTATGAACAAATCATGTCTGGTAACTGAGAATCTCAGTTAAACCTTTCGAGACGGGTCACGGGTGAAAGGCCATGTCATCTTGTTTGTTGACTTGCATTCAAAATTTTATTGAACTATTTCATGAATTTATGTCAATAAGTTTGGTATCAAACTGTAGATTATGATTCAAATTTACTATACATTACTCAATTTGTTAGTTTAAAAGTAAATATTAAAAAACTTGGATAAACATCGAATTTTATGTGTCACGTGGTATGTTGAATGCAGTACTGGTTCAAATTAGAAGTTTGTGAAGTCAAAATATTAAGTCTTTAGTTTCATACAAATT